TCAGGTCTGGCGCGCGTGCAAGTTTATTAGCAGCGCAGCGTGCTCTGCGGGAAGCATAAATCCATCCTTCTTTTCTCGTCTGCCTTGTATAAAGCCGAGTCATTCAAAGCAACATCACGTTTCACATTCTTTTCGTGTCCAATTCAATTATCACTTGTTAAGAAAAACGCATTACTTCCTACGCTTGGGCAATTGCGCAGCGAATAAACGATCGCAAAGTTGAACACAAGTGGTTAGTGTTTGTTTGTTCAGGAGTCGCAACATTGTTTTCTCTAGGTTGAGCTGCGTGTGCTTTGGCAACATCACTTCTTGATGAGCTGCTCTTTCATTGGCATCAAGTATCACATTTTCATGCTACTTAAAATTCAAAAAAGAACAATCAATTACTTTTACTGGGATAAATAGATAAGTTATGTACTACCCTTGCAAATTTAACATTTGTAAAATTCTATTTGGAACTGTAAAAATGGGGTTTTGACCTCGGAAGTTTTAACAAAATTCTTGCTAGTGGTGGTGCCGTTTTTTCCATCAATTTTTTTTCTAAAATAAATGTTTCCAACAATTCGTATGTAAAAAATGTGATGTAACAATTTGGATAAATAAACAACAATAATTAATTCAGAAAAGTAAAAAACGAGTTAAAATCTGCGAAGGCAAGGGAAATTAGGGAAAATAGATTAGAAACCATTTTTAATTTTAATTAGAAAATAAACGTTTTGCATTCTTATTTTCTTTAATTTGCTATTGAATTGATCAAAAGCCATTACTTTTGGCATTTTGGTAAATTTCTAATTTTACTCTTTCATGAAGACAAAATTTGTTAATAAGTAATTCCGAGAAAATAAAAATTATTAATTTCTTTTAATTACAATTTTCCAGCTGCCAAGTGCACCTCACCGAGGCAAATATTTAGTTAAATTTGCGCACCAAATAAAGAGTCTAGCCATCGTGTATCGCGCACACGTGGTCGGCTTTCGCGAACGCCGGTGGCACTGGGTGGCACGTGTGCCAAACAAAGTGGCGACAACACGTGTTCCTTCTCAAGATACCTCTCTCAGAAATAAACTAGAGAAAAACGGGTTGCTCAACAGCGTGGCGAAAATATTGCGATTTATTTTCGGGCAGAGGAATCGCACATTCTTGCTCAAGAGGCGCGTCGACGGCCAGAAAAATATTGCCCTGTGATGTATCAAAAGAAACATTCAGCAACATTAATTTGAGATTTATTTCGTAGTTAGTGCAATCGGCCGTCTCGTAAATCAGCAGTGGCAAATTTATTTTAAAGCAGTTTTAAATCATTTTTGTTCATTCTTACATATGATATTGGTTAAAGTTGAGTGATAATGTACTTAAGCATATTATTGACTTTTTTAAAGTAAAAAAAACGTAATAAATTAATGAAGTATCCGGGGTTAATTTTCAACAGTATTAATTTCACTGAATAAATTTCAAAATGATTTTAATTTTTATATAGTCGCTCGCTAGTTTTTGATCACCGTAAATTTTTCTTTGATTCAGATTAATTATAATTTCTTATTCACCAAATTAAAAAGTACTTTATTTTAATATTTTCTTTTCCTCAGTCGTTACCAAAGTTTAAATAAAATCATATCAAAATTATCATTATATAACCTCGTGAAACATTTTGGGATTTTCAAACCTTACAAATAAAAGTAATAAAGGAAAAATTATTGATATATTATTTGAGCCTAACCTTTTGATTAAAGATTTAAGTTCCCTAGCATAAACCTTTAGTTAAATTTAATTTTTCTTTTTATTTAATTTTAATCAAAGTGTTAAAAATTCGCAATAAAATACTTTTTCTTCCTAAAATCTTTTATGTTTTCATGATTAGTATTGTGTTTAAAAGCTCCAAAATAATTATGCTGACTGAAATGCTGAAAATAACAGAACACGGTCTTTGCAAATTCTAGATCTCATTCAGCAGACGCACCAAAGAGGCAATTATTGCTGCCCACAGCTGTCTTGGAAACAGATTTACGGAGATGAAAGAGTTGTGCGAGTGCGTGAGCGGTGATATACTTGGTAAAGAACATATTTTTACATCCTCGCTATTGCATTTTGTTTGTTACACACTGCCTAGCAAGTCTAAAGGCAAGTAATTTGTGGCAGTTACTCATTTGAAAAAGACAAGAAAGTATGTTTTGATGTTGTTCCAAAATAAATAAAAATTACTGCAGCTAATAGAACCAGGCTGCGGTACATTTCTTAATATATCCAACCAATGTTAAAAATACGCTGATCAAGAAATTTTATTGTTATAACAGTTTTATATGCAGCAATGACAATTTTACCAAATCTTGCAATTTTATTTAATTGTCCTTTTTGTATTTAAATTTAATTTTGCAACCTTGCAGTAAAATAACCTAAAAAATAATTTTTCTAAATAATTAATTTTCTCAAGCAGTTTTCCAACAACAAGTTTACATGTTGGTTGAATTCTTGATTTCCGTTTCCTCATTTAATTTAAATATACCCATAAACGGGATTTCCACGTTAGTGGTTTGACCATCCTGACTAACCCTGATTAATACAAGTTTTAAACTTAAGAAGGAAACGAAACCAAAATTTCGGTGCGAGTCTCTTCTCTGCGGTTTTGAGCAATGGAATTATGCAACTTTGTAGATGCATGTGTAGCAACAACTAATATGCTATGACGTGACGTAGATTGGTCTTGGGATTGACGTAGATTAAAGATTGCTGCTCGCGTAACTTGCCACGCTTAATCTCCTGGCACCTAACCAAATTATCAACGACGCACATATTAATCATTATTTTTAATCGATCAAAATTTCAATAATTATAATATATATGTCAATTTAAATAAAGTTATTTCTCAAATAATTATATTGTTTTCTATACTGGCAATATTGGTATTTATCAATCCATTTTAGTTTCAAAAATTTTAATCCATGTAAATTAAAAACTAAAATGAAATTGATATATAATAAATTTAATCGTTATTGTAAAACATAAAAAAATTAACGTTACATTTTAAGTTGAATAACAGTCAGAATTTTTATAATTGTTAAGGCTTGAAGAAATTTCCAACTATTTATTCAATTTTCATTTGCATAATATTTATATTACCAGATATTATATTAACATTGATTTTGCGAGTGTTTCGCTTTCAGAGTCGCGTGCAATCAATCAAGGCAGAAGACCCCGAGTACCCAGAGAAGGGTCACATGCTGAGTTAGGTCTGCGTGAGCTTCACTGCACGTGTAACGCCTCACGTGAGCACACATTAATTAACGACGCGTATCCATCAAGTGCAAACAAATTATATTGCGTCAAATTGCTGATAGGCAGCCTTTACAATGCATAAATAACAATAAATATGTCATCTTCAGCATTCAAAGTACAAAACTGTCAGAACTGAATTGAAATAAAAAAATTCAATCTGATTGTTTTTTTTTAATACAATCAAACCAATTGCCAGTAATTGATGTCCTATTTTATTTCATTTTACTCCACATTACAATATTTTTTGTATTTTAGTGCAATATTTTCATTTGAAAAAAAGTTGGAAATATTCGAAAAACCACTTCATGGTGGTTTGAATATTTTTTTTTTCATACTTTGAATTTACATCAAAATAGAATTGGAATATTATTGTTTTTCCACTAAATATTCTAGTTAATAATAAAGGGCAGTATAAATGTATTTATTATTTAAATATAGCCACAAGCACAAGCACTAAAAGACAAGCTACTGCCAACAAAAAATTTCATAGGAATACTAATTTTTTTCACTTTTAATATGAGAAGAGTGAACATTTTGAAAATTTATAATCCTTCCACTTGATTGATTTCCATAATTTTATTATTTTTTTTTCCTTTAATGAGTCATGTCAATAATGTAATACCATTTTTTTTCCTCTCTGAATTGTTGAGAGAAAATATAACTAATTTAATGGAGTCAACGGCAAGAAAAATAGTTTAATCTTGAGCTTATGCTACAGGCACTACATAGCTGACAAGCAGGTTGCAGCTATTGCGCTTTAATCCGTGCCGTAATATAAATAATCTGACATTGTATTCCAGTATTATTTTTTAGTAAGTTTTTTTATTTAAATAATAATACTCCATACCATGCCGAACCGACTCCATGCTATATGGTTTGGAGACTTTGCATGATAAAGCTTTGACACGGCATGACTGACTGATGGCATATAAGGCAGAGAAGAGATTTCATACCGCGGCATGGAGTTTTTTATTGTACGAGTAACAAAATAATCCACGATCGAGGAAAACATCCGACTTAGATTATTAACTTTTTTCACTTACTTTAAAACGAGCGTCCCTCGTCGTCCTTCCCTCCAAGGGTCCAATGCAAAGCACCGCCACCTTAAAATTTGCAAGAAAAATTAATTACATTATGCACGTACTCAACACGTATAAGGTCATTAAATTATTCGAACATAATTATACAAATATATCGATTTCCTTCAATTCCTTCGTTTTGCTTCAAAAGTTAAGAAAAACTTACGATGAAGTCAGTCGATTTTCGTTTTCCACCTTTTTTCCGCTTCTAAAAAAAGTCCCTCATCTCTCAGTGCAGATATCACTTCTTGATCACATAATATTATTATGTACCGTCAATACAAGGGAAATCAATAAACACATTGCACTTTTCAGTTTTTAGATACACATATTATGCCAAACACAATACAAATTGCAAAAACATTATGTATGACCGACTGTGTGTATTTTTGCTATGCAGGGCAGGTGAGGTGTGCAGTGTGAACACTGGATCACGCAACACGCATCTCGAGCGCTCAGTTGGGGAGGAAGAACGAGTACTGTCAGGAATTGACCAGAAAATGTGGCAAAAACAAGTTTTAGTTACGATAAGTATGTGTTCAAGAATCTTTCTCCTCTCTTCAACTCTCTTCGTCAGCTCTCACCACCCACCCTCCCGCTGGCCAATGAGATTCTATGGAATTTTTGTTTTGTTTTTTATTTCATGTATTTTATTCCACTTCGAAGTTTCGCCGGTTCCAACAGGTTTCAGCTCACATTCAACGACGACGAACGTTCGAGCGTTCGAGTCTTCGAGGGCTTGTTTACTCTATGCACCGGCCTCCGCTTTGCGGCTGCGACTTGCGCTTTTCATTCCAGAATCCAGATTTTGTTGCTATAGCAAGTCATAGCACATTCGTTCGCTATCTCCAGAGAAAAGGTTTAAAATGATTTCTCTTATAATTTTTCGTTTGTTCATTTCATTCAACAGCCTCCTCTGCTTCTGCTACATTTACGCGATTATTTTATACAATTGCTGCAAATGGCTAAGTAGCAAACACATTAACTGATTGCGCTCCAATATTCTAGAACATTCTATTTTTTCTCTTTTCCTTTTTGCGAATTTAAATTTTGTGCAAATGATAACCTGCTGAAAATTAATCGCACCTTGAAGTTATGCTGAATTTTCTCCTTCATCATCATTAAATTCATAAACATAAGTTAAAAAATCCTGCTATACAGTCATAATGTGTATTAAAATGATGCCGACCTTGCCATTGATTTATTATTATTATTTTTTAATTTTTTACAGGTAGCCGAAGATGTTAGACGAAGAGTTACTTGAGATGGCAAAAGCCCATGCCTCAAGCAGAATCAAGTCATCTGTCAAATCATCTTTCCCGACTTTGGTTCAACGCAGTGCCTCCGTTGTAAGCAACAACGTTTCTCTTCTGTATGATATGTACGGACCTGAAACTGATTTCAAATTCTGTAAGCGAAGTTATATTAACCCTAAAATTATTTTTCTGAACTAATATTCCTCATTATAAATTTTTCAGCCAACAAGACCATTGAGCTGACTTTTAGGGAGTTCTTCAATAGAAGACGGGATGAGATCGAAGAAGTAAGTCACATTGCAGGCAGGAAACTTGCTCTCCTGCTAATGAACTCGACTATGGTCACGTTCAGCTTCAACAATCTCCCCAAAATCCCTCTAGAAGAGTTAAAGAATGGTACCTCATCTGTAGAAGACTGTGACAGCGATGAAAGTAGTCAAAGCTGCAAGGATGTCTACAGTGATAACATCTGGGAAAATATGGTTAGTTTTATAATTTTCCTTATTGTCTTTATTGCAATGTAAATTTTAAAGGTGTTGGCCAAGTTAGTGAAGGTTGCTCCAAATTTGACTGAATTGGTAGACTCCTACTCTTACATTGGAACAGACTATGACGGAGAGGAGTTCTACATGGAAGAAGATGATTTATATAGCAGATTTGAGCACATTCTGCCGTACATGATGCAGTTGAAGAAGATACAGACTTTTAATTTTGAAGGAAACCCACTTGATGATGACGATTTGGTCAGCATCGCCGAACACCTTCCTGAACTTCGCACCCTTCTGTTCTCTTCATACTATCTTGGGGTAGATGGAATTCGGGCTTTGGCCAAGCTGCCTCACCTTGAATCGGTGATCTTTGAGGGTGCCACACATGAATGTAGCTTGGAAGAAGTTGATGTTATGATGAGGTTTGTAATTTTCTATTTTAATTATTGCAGTGTATCTAATTATAATTTTTGACAGTTTTATGAAAGAACTACCTCATTTGAAGTATGTGGGCTGCGAGCCGAGGGCCATGCTGAAGAACAAAAATGACCATGGCCCTCACAGACTGCCCTCCTTTAGAAGAGCTACTGACTTGGGCATCAAATACCTGTACATCCACAGCAAGATCAACAAGAAGGGCAAAAACACACGACTGCCAAACTTGTCATCTATGACAATCGAGTCACTTGAAACAAAACAAGTTAAAAATGTACTCGAATTGGGACTGCAGAATCTGAAAGAGCTGTACTTCAAAGGAGTAGCTATCGCGCAAGTTTTGCCCATTCTTCAAAGTACAGGCAGAAACTTGGAGGTCCTGAACATGAAGGGTGTTTACGACTTGAGCATCCTCCAGATTCTAGACTTGTGCCCTAATTTGAAGAGCCTCTACTTTTCCTGCTCCGAGCATGCCATTGTTAACGCCACTTTAGACCAGCGCAACTTTCAGTTCCTTGAAGATGTCTGCATTAGCACCAACACTTTTGGTTACCCTCAGAAATGCCCTGAACGATTCTTGGTGTTGTAAGTTATTTTCAAATGATAATTTCAAATTTTCTTTCACCATCATATTTGATTTATTTAGGCTCCTCAGTGCTCCGAATCTGAAAAAGGTGCATTTGTCTGGCGTTGGATACAAGAGTTCCGACTACAAAAAGGTCGTTGAGAAACTGAGGTCGTGTGATATTTTGAGGCAACTTGAGAAATTCAGTATAACTCTGAGCAAAGAATTGGTCTGTGAAGAACTCTTCACAATGATCAAGCACATGACTGCCTGGTGCCCGACCCTGGCAACTCTAAAAACTGGCAAGCACATCAAGCATCATGTTTCAGAGTTTGAAAAATCAGTCAATATGAAACAACAGTCTGGTCTCTTCTATGACAGTGACAACTTTGACAGCTTCTACGCTGATTTTGCTTGATGTAAGCTTAGCAAAAAATTTTATTTTTATTTTTCAACCGGTTAAAATATTAACATGTACTTTATATTATTTTTTATTTGAAACAAAAACTATTTTGTGGAAAAATGCAAATAAAGACTTGTGTCATAATTTAATCTGCTCATAATGTTAATTGTGTATAATTTATAATTCTTGTAACAATCATGATTTGTTTTTTATTATAATTATGAAGTCCCTGCTCGCCTGAAATTTGAAGCACATTCATTTGAAAGCCGTTAGTGTTATTAAGGGTTTTACCCAATTTTTTTAAACTGACTAGAAAGTTCATTTTAGTGTAAATATAGAAAATCATTTGCGAAATTCACCGCTAAAACCTCTCATAATAAACAATAAACCAGTATTTTTTGAGAATTAAAAACCCAAAGAAACCACTCGGAACGGGAAATAATTTAAATTAGTTAGGTCATAGCACATTAATTTTATGTCCTGCCAGATCTGGGAAGAATAATACAACTATATTTATTTAATTCTCAATGACACTGATATTATTTATTGTGAATTGTGATGGATAAGATTTACACTGCATGTAAATTTGTATTATTCCTTCATTACTACGTACCTCTCCTAAAAATCTAGCAATCAAGCGCAGCTGTTACTATTGCATTTAATATTAATTATTGATTATGGCACCTCTAAAAAACAATATTTTTTTTTGTAAAAAACAACATGGAGGAGCCGGGGTTCGAACCCGGGACTTTTCACATGCAAAGCGAACACTCTACCTCTGAGCTACACCCCCGTTGTAAGATGCGGCAAAAATAATAAATTTTCAATATCAAAATTTAGGCAACTGACAAAGTTTTCCTTTCAATGCTCATCATATTATTGTCTTTTTGCAGAAAATTAATCAATGGAAGTTGTTATTTTACTTTGTTTCCCATAATTTTCCTTCAATAGGAAAAAAATACAGGGTATGAGTTGTATGACGTAAATACACTGCAAAAGTGCACACGAAAATAATATTCATAATACATTCCAAACGTGTTACAACATGTTATCTCACACATCTGCGCGCTGCACAATGCGCGCTCCTTTCAAAAAAAGGGGGTGTAACTGCGGAGAAGGCTCCTTGGGAGAAGGTTTTGAAAGTAGGCGTGGTGTGTGTTTTGGATGAAAATGTCAGGTTAATTGTAAATGAGAGCGGCGTTTGGTAAAGAAATTCGCAAGTTCTTTTGATTATTTTTACACGATTTTAAGTCAACAACGACTTCTCATCAGTTCAAGCCTTTTATCCAATTCTTTTTGAATTTTTGAAAACTGTTAAAGATGTGAAGGGTGAAGGTTTATTCATGGACACCAGTTTCTAGACACCGTGCGACTGTGTTCTTAAAATGTGAGCTCTTGCGATCCACTTTTTGAATCGCCCAATATTTATTATTACACACTTCTTTTTTGTGTGCAGTAAATACAATATTATGCATACGTAATATTCATTTTATCAATGTACCTTTTCGTAATTATAGCGGCGTTGAGTTGATTGAAAGAAGGTCATGCTTCCGTCTAAGGGCAAGTTTTCGTTGTACCCATGTCCACATTTGCCCCTCAGCAGTTGTGGAAGGCCGTATTGTCCATTCAGTCACACATTAGGTAATTATTTTTGAAGGTTTAAAAAATCTTTATAGTCATTTTATGTATTTGGCATTAAGAAAAATGTATGTATAGAAAAAATGATACTAAAATATACATAAACAAATTTTCAGATACTGGAAGTAGTGCCCCAAACCTACCTCTGCCACAACAAAGAGCTACTGACAAAGTCGATATAATACCAGAAAAAGAAGCAACCCCAGTAACCAAACATGTTAGTTCATCACCACCCCCTCTGGCAGCTCCGACTCCTATCGTCATTAAAACGGAACCAGACGATGATGACCTTATACCCCAGCTGGAAGCCCTTTTTGGCATGGAAGGGGCGCCAGACTTATCTCGCATTGAGCAGACCTTATTTGAAACTCCTCAGTATGAGCCGACTCCCATAAGCGAGCTGAAAAATTATTCTAAAACTTCGGTCATTGAGACTCTCAGCACATACGATCCACAAGTATGAATTAATTTAATCTTTTTTCAGAAAAATTAATTATATTTTTTAGGAGAACTCTAAACCTTTGAAAGTAGAGGAGTATGTTCCTTTACCAATTAAAGTGGAACAATATGAGCCAATTGCACCCCCCGAGCCAGAGAGCTCGTATGTGCCAACGAAAAAATCTACTAAACATAATCTGTCGGCTTCAAAAAAGTCTTCATCTCCTTCGTCTTCTAAGACAAGTACTCACATAAGCAGTAGCAAAAGTGGCAGCTCAAGCAAACACTCCTCAAGCAAATCAAAGTCTGATTCAACTTCTAAGAAGACCGTGAGTGACAAGACATCAAGTTCGTCTAAATCAAGCCTCAAAAGCAGTGAAAAATCCTCAAAAAGCAGCAGCAGTCACTCTAAAGCAAAGTCCAGTGATAGGAAAAGTAGTGAAAGCAAAAGAAGCAGATCTGTGAGTTCCAGCAGTGAAAAAACGAATGGAGAGAAGAGGAAAAAGTACAGTCCCGAACCCTGCAAATCAAAAGAAATTTTAATTTCTTCTGATGATGAAATGGTATTTCATTCTAACTTAACAATAATTTGTTCATTCGGGAGTTTCTAATTTACAGGACTACACCCCAACAACTGTGATTTTGGATAATGATAGTGATGACGAAGATATTTTCAAAAATTTAAAAAAGAAGACAGAGCTAAAACCAAAAACGTCTTACACTATACCTAAGGTGACCTCAGGCAAAGACGAAAGTGATGATGATATTTTCAAAGATGTTAAAAGTAAAACGGAAACAGCTAAACAAGCTCAGAGTTCAACCAAAACATCTACTGCTAAAGTAATTATTTAGAAGTTAACTTTATGATTTTCGTGATTTTTAAGCCAACCCTTTTACAGGAATCAAATAAGCGTATTGTCAGTGATAGTGATTATGAAGTGGGTCAAGCTGCAGATGAAGAAAACTATTCCGTTCCTGATAAGAAAAGAAGGGTGGCACATATGTCAAGATTTGGATTTCAACCTAAGACAACAAAGAAAGTTATCCGACCAGTTGTATCTTCCGTTGGTGTGGTAAGCAAAAAAATTTCTTGTTAAAGCTCATTATTAAAATCATAAATCTCTTAATCAGGTCTTGGCTGAGAGGTGGAAGAAGCAACAGGAGCTCAAGTTGAATGCAAATCAAGATAAATTGTCAGACGATGTAAGTTTAAAATGGATTTTACTTGGTTTATAATTTGTTAATATTGTTTTCCTTTTGTAGGATAAAAACACACGAGTGGGTTGTGCGCAAAAAGGCAAAGCTAGGGTAGCTCATCAAACAAAACCTGCAGTAATTCTAGCTATTTAAGTGAACGCACCAATAGATAATAATTAATAAAATTTGTAAATTTTAGGATGCAAAAACTGTCGCCCGACCTAAAATTACACCAAGCCCTTCTAAGGTTCCTGCTGTGAAAAGACAGTATGTCCTCGACCAGCTCTTTGACATGTGCGTCACAATCTATGAAAAGCAGGATGATGCAGTCAGCAAGGTGATTATTTTATTTTGATTATCTTATTTTCTATCTATGAGTTTTAATATTAAAATTTTAATCGATTAATGGTTGATCAAAGCGGGATAAAATTTGAGTACACAAATCTGGAAATTTAATCCACTTGAAAATTACCTGAAAAATTGGTCAAAAATGATTTCTAAAATTTTGTTGTACAAATAACAACTTCTGCAACTAGGTGCCCCTTGCTCCTAAATATTTTGGCATCATTTAATTAGTAAATTGCTTTATTTTTTTGAAACAAAAAATTTTAATACTTTTTTTTAAATCTTGCAAACAGTTAATTAAAAGTCTGTGTGTAAGCAGTTATTAACATCTACACTGTTATTTTTTTTTTAAACTACCTCAATTTTTTATGTTGCTTTTAATTTTTTTACTCATATGAAATGATTTTGAAATTTAGAAATAAAAACAATTAACAAATTTTGCTTTTTAACAAAAGCTGTTGTTGCATTGTCGAGCCAAGAGCAGCAATAAATTTTTTGTCTTTGTGGGGTCTTTGAAGAGCCTCTGATATCTCCATCAAGGTGACGATACAAATGTGGAAAACGAAAAAAAAATGTAATATATTTATTTATATATTCGTGGAACCATCCACATTACTAAAAGTTCAGGCCAACCTTCTAATTTTTTTGCAAGTTGTTCCGGTACTAAGTAACTTCTTTTGCTAGCATAAAAAATACAAAAATAATTGCGTTTTCTATTATTAAATTTTCTTAATGTTAAAAAATAAAATCGATCTATGTCAATATATCCACCAATTTTCCAATGAAAATTTTTTATTCTCTAGTAAAAATAATTATGTTGATAAACTTCCTCAGGACTAGTTGGCTAAAAGGAAGTCTATATAGATAAAAGCAAAAAGGAGGTTTTTTTTAATATTATCAATTAAACACTTCCCTTTGCTCTAGAAATGAAACAATGAGTGGCTTATACTCATAAAAAGTGACCCAAATAGAAGAAGAATGATGTTGAAAATTCACTATTTTATTTTTTAGCTGCTGCTCGTGTGTGCGAAAACTGAATTAGAATTTGGATTTGATTTTGTTTTGATTTATTACTAATACCGAATAATTAAGAGTCAATATTTAAAATATTATATTTTACCAAGCGGCTTCTTTCTCATTCTCACGCCCTTCAGCAAAATTTTGTAATATATTCTATAATATCTTTATTATGGTATCTATTATGTTGGATTTCCAAATTCCATAATATATAATGCTGCAGTAGTCTAGTTTTTTAGCCCTCACCCTCAATAATTATTTTCAATGCAGCAATACAAAATACTCTTTATGGCATAATGCACTCAGCTCACAGAAAGAGGATTCCCTCCAAGTTCACATAACACTTTTTACTGATCAGCGTGAAACTTCCTGTCACTCTTGCCAAAGAACCTAGAACCCCCATAGTAGAGGTGCACCTCGGAACATTTTTTTATATATCCGCAATACTTATAAAATAAATCCAGCTATTTGCGGCAAGTAAAGAGACGCATTCATGCATAATCAGAATTAGCATAAAAGGAAATAAAATTGCTCCTCTTGAATTACAATTCGATAATTTTTTTATCTCCGACTTGTTGTTTATTTCCTAGTCCCTATGGTGCTAACAATAAGGCACTGATAATGAAATACCAGCATTACTTGAGGCAGCTGCGCTGTCCGCGATATAATTTATCTGCTGAAGGAATTACCTTCCCGGTGTTGGCAAACTTGACACCTGCGCGTCTGCTTGCACTTGACTAAACAAAATTTCATTCAAGTGTAGGTGGTTGTGCAATTTTCAATGTGCACGTTTTGTTTGCCAACAACTGACACGATATTATATTTCCTTGATAAAAAAAAAGAACAACTGGTATTAAGCAAGTTGTGTTATACATTAATTTCAAGATTCAAAAATAAAATTAAAAATGGCTTCAAAATTATTTTAAAATAAAATTGTTTAAAATAAAAATTATGCGTCTTTTTTGGGTCTTTTTTTAGTTTTTATTTTTAAAGATCTGCGTAAAAGATTCAATAATCAGGAGGATAATTATTTTTTTTTGTCTTAAATTAAAAAAGTGGCATAGGAGAAAAATAAATTGACCCCAAAACTTTTCATTTCTCCCTTCGCAATGAAGACGCCCGGTTTAAATTTTTCATGAAATCCACCTTGAGTCTTGCTTTGGGTATTTTATTTTTTGCAGACATTTTCAGACGCAAAATTCTAAATAATGAAAACACCGAGGCGGTAAAATGATTTGGGTTTTTACATCACACGCTGCGTCTGCGGCATCAAAATACTAATAATTGAGTAGAACAAGGAAAATTCTCGGATGTAAAAAAGCCGCTCCATCCTGCGCAAATTACGACTTACGTGCCGAAAGTCGTGATTCGCGAGCCGCATTATGAGTCAGAACGCAAGGCCCGCGAAGAGCCAATGGCCAGAGTCACAGTTATCGACTCTGACGTCAGCCGCTATAAAGCGCCAAGCCAACATACATGACTAACACGCCGTCTTTTTACTTTCCCCACAACAGGCACTCGAGCTGGAGCTGGCCATCCTCGCTAAAGCGACCACCTCCAACGTGTACACCAGCGTCTTCATCAGTCAGAAGAGACTTCTTGAGAAGAGCACCATGCCGCCTCCTCTGGGCACCGGATTACTCTGCATAGCACCCTCGGCCCCAATGCGCCACATTACCACCATGGGCGCCGACAGCAAGATCGAGCGCATCAACGTGTTCACTAGGACGATTGAAGTCAAGGGTGAGACTTTTATCTTTATTTGCTCTTCCAGTACTTGGACTCATTGTCAGTTACAACAATTAGATTTTAACCAACCTTAAAAACTTGTTTCATATCTTCGTTATTAATAATGGACATCATTAAGCTGTGCAAGCCTTGTTCTTTATCCATTGTTATACCTATTTTCAGTATGGTACATGATGACACACTCTAATTCCTGTTTTCTAAATTTATAAAACTGAACTGTAATTTAGAATTGCGCAGATTTATTCTGTATTATTTAAATTTTTATCGGTTTTTAATACTTTTTAATATGAGTATTTTTAAAGTATTTTTAAAATAATATCATTTTCATTTCATAATTTGCTAATTCAGTAGAATAAATTATACTCTGCATTATTTCCTTTAAATCTTTTTGACAAAAAATAATTTTCAATTCTTAGTCTTTGAATAATAAGCCTTACATCAGTTATAGTAAGGAAGGTGATGCAACTTTGCAGTTAGTTGGATGGTTCTCCCCTTGTCAATTTACCCAACAATAATACGCATTGCATAAGCTGAAAATTTTTAGCTGACACTGATATTGTTTATGTTTTCTTCTTGCCACCTTACTTTTTTGCTAACAATCTGTTTACTGTGGTTTTTCTTGGTAATATGCTTGAAGAAATTGTCCCCCATTGTTTTAAGTACACTCCGTGTCGATATTTTTTTTTCAATATTAAAATTCTGGAGTGTTTGGTTAAAACAATATGATTCTATCAATTCGGCAATACTCTACATATTTTCTTACAATTAGAGCCAGTTTGTTTCTCCTCGAAAAATTATCTCAAATAATCATTAATTCCTACTTTCTAGTCTTGTATGTTATCAAAGCAATACCAACCCAATTTTAGACAGACAACTATAGTATAGTCTTAATTGGAAGAAATAAAACACCAACCCAAAAATTAGCTTTAAAACTCAGAACAAATAAACAAAATATGATAAGAGTTACATTGACATTAATTCTGATTTCCAAGGACGGAATTTTCAACCGTGCTTGTTTATTTTCTTGGCAATGACTCCCTTGTCAGAATAACAATGTAATTGCGTGCCAGTTGGTTGCCACATGAAATTTTTACATACATTTTCCGGCTTCGTTATTATGAAAACCTTGCCCAAGAAATTTGAGCTTTTTAAATTTTACAGTAGTTCAGATTTAGCTAAAGAGAATTAGCTGCATTATATGATTTTAAATTTCAAAAATATAAATTATTGATTCCAGGCGAATTCCTCTACAAACTGATGTCCTCGTATCTCCTAAGCAAAGATGAGCTTAAGGAGCACGGGTTTCCTCTGCCGGATGAAAATGACCGCAGAAGGGCGCTTATTCATGCCGCAGATGACAAACGGCGGAAACTTCCCAATGAAAACCAACGCGAATGCTGCAGATGCGGTTCAATTTACGTAGTTAACAACAAGGGCATGCCAGGAAAACTGTCCCTTGACGAACTCTGCATTTATCACCCGAAGAGGACGTACAAGAAAAGGAGAGGTTAGTACAGTCATTTTTCAGCTATTGCATTGTTCAAACAAGTGGGTCAACGCTTTAATGCCTTTGAATTGTTTCAAAATACGCACGGCAGTGCGCAGTAGATTGATCTTATCATTGCAAGTGTGGTAATAATTTTTTCATTTCAAATGATAAGCGTGTCTGGAGGCTACGTTGACCACTTTTCGAGCAATTAAACAATGAAAATAAATCAGAATTTACCTTTTGCAAAGTTTTAAAAACTAATTGGGTCGCTTTATCAAAAAAATTCATGACCTTGCTTCTAGGCTTTAAAAATTAACATGTAAAATTTCAAAGTCTAATGAATAATAATAATTGCAGATCGCACAACAGTGGAGGATTATTACATGTGTTGCGACCGACCGTTTTCTTCTGAGGGCTGCGAGTCCAATGTTTACCACATCAGTGAAAACCCTCACTTTGATCATCTCACCGGTTTTGTCAGAGCGCAAAGGAGTTCCAGGCCGAAACAAAAGACAGGAGTTTACGCCTTGGACTGCGAAATGTGTCTCACAACAAATGGGACCGAGTGCACCAGAGTTACGATAATTGACGAGCACAGGAACAATATTTATGACGCCTTAGTCAAGCCTGATGTTCCAGTATTAGATTATCTCACGAGGTTGGTTATAAATTATTAAATAATTTTAATTAACTGATTTATTTTTTCCTTTTTATAGATTCAGTGGGATTACTGAGGAAATGTTGAACTCAGGGAATACGAAGACTCTAAAAGAGGTGCAGAGAGAGATTCTGCAGATTATAAGAGCAGAGACCATATTGATTGGACACAGCTTACAAGGCGATTTAAAAGTCTTAAAAGTAAAAATGACTAATAATTACCTTTTGGTTTCTAATTTTTTCTTATCTGTAGATGATTCATAAAAACGTAGTGGACACAAGTATCGTTTTTCCTCATCGAGAGGGCTTGCCGAAACGACGTGCATTGAAGAATCTTGCTAAAGATTATCTTATGAGACTGATTCAAGTTGATGGTGAGTTTTTTCCTATTTCAATGTTTTATATAAAAAATTATCTTTTTATTTTTTATTATAAATTATTTGAATTTTTATTATCATGTTTCTTAATTGTGATAATTTTTTATTGTAGAAAGCGGACATGATAGCAGTGAAGACGCACTTGCCTGTATGGATCTCATGCTTTTCAAAGCAAAAGAGGACGCTAAGTCCCACCTGTAATTGTCACCTTCACTGATGCCCAGTATTAACTTTTAAGTCTTGTAAATAGTTTGCGTCATACTCTCATCAAGATATTTTTGTTCGTGATCACTTGTTTCTTGATTAAATGGTAATTTAATTTTGCTGATATAAATGAAATAAATCTTACAAATTAAATACAAAAATGGTAATTAAATTAATATTTCCTCTAATTATTTGATAACTCATAATTTTTATTTATTGCATCAGTTGAGTTCACTATAGTACATTTTCTTCAACATATTTAAGATATCAAAAATTTACAACTCTTACAAGTGACTTGCAAAAAGTCACAGTCTAAAACACTAATATTGCCCGTCTCAACAAAGAGACTTTAGCTAGGGTATGAAAGTCCATTTTTCTTTCAAATTTATTGAGCACGCATTGCAAAGACTCCACAAAAGGGAGATTGCTTTGCAGAACTTGGTGAACGAGTCAGTCTCATTTTGGTGCTGGGACTTGTAATGTATGATTCGCCTCTTATCGACGGCTGCCCGGCTTTTGCAGTAGAGATCAACTGACGAATATCAGTTTGAGGGACAAATAATAAACTTAACACTGGCCACCCAAGTACTGTGTGGTTTTCAAGTCTGTGCGCCAGGAGTAGTTTTGATTGATGCCAGAATAATGGTGTTGGACGAATTTCACAATGTAAAAAGGCACCTTTGATACCTCGTAGTCAAGCTTAAAAAATTTCTGAAATCCAATACCACAAAGGCTGTCCTTGGATATTTTCATATAAAAATTGACCAGAAAGACGCACTGAACACAAAGGTCTTGAAACAATGGTCTTCTTAAACCATGGTCACATTCCTTTTCTTTTTGTCACTGTTGACTGAAGACAGACTGCCCTGCAAACTAGGGTTGAAGTTGACGTTTGGCTTAGGCAGGGTGGGGGGCCCAGGTTTTGGGCGCTGACCGTAAATGGCCGAGCCCTCATCGGCGATGGAGAGGAACGAGTTGTTGTAGTAGTTCACAGTGTAGATGGATGAGTCGTGGGGCGGAGGTGGCACTGGAGGTCCTTCTTGAGCATAGTGCTGCACATAGCCGTAAGGGCTGTGCCTTCGTTCGTGCTCGTGAAGAAGCTGGCTAGCCGTCCAGGACTGGTATGGACTGAGAGTTCGCGCGTTCACTATTTGAGTCTGAGGATCCACAATGGGGACCACAGTGGTGGTTGAATAAATGGACTTGTCCTGAAAAATAGGAAGAAATAATTAAAAATTTGCTTTTTATATGTAGTAAAATTAAAATTAGCTTCCATAATATTTAAAAAAGCCTATTTATTTTATTTAATAGTACAGGAAACAAATTACGATATATTGAATAAAACTAACCTTATACTCCATATAAAAATAAATCAAAAGGGAAATTTTAAATTTAGAATTATGCAATTAAAAATTAACTTACCCTTTGCTTATTGTAGTCATCTTCGGCCTCATATCTTGGGGGTGGCCCAGAGTATGGTTGTTGCGCTGGAGGAGGCTGAGATGGAGGTGGCTCCTTGGAATGCCTTTTCCTTCTGTGTACGACCATGACACAGTAGAGAGAAACACAGACGGCCAAGACCACAATGCCAGCAGCCACTGGAAGGACGACTTGCAAAATGAGTCCAGGACCTGAAGCGGCAGCCAGTCTTGGGATGACAGACGGATCGGCTGGGTCAAAGTCAAGGGCTGGAGGAAGCCCTGGAGGCTTGGGAGGTGAAGCTACAAGCAGGCGGACCACATTGGAAACTGGGCTGGAGGCGCCGTGGCTGTTGATCCCGCGGATGGCCATGAAGACGGGCTGGTCGAGGAGTTGCGGCATCTCGGAAAAGTCGAGGGTGTGTGTGGTTTCAGCGCCAGCAGGCAGAGGCATGGAAGGTGCTGATGGCCACAATTGGGAGGACTCGAAAACGTCCACCAGAGTAGCAAGGTCGTTGGCAAATCTCACTTCATAGTGGTCAACTAAGGAGAATAATTTGTTTAATTAATTTTTATTCCGAATTATTTTTCTAATATTTATACCTGATCCAACATCACCATTTGCTCCCGGAGCAGTCCAAAGCAACCTTGTTCTGAGGTCACCCGTGGCCTGGGGAAGCACCCTGAGGTCGTTGATCTTGGCAGGAGGCAAAATCTGGTCAACTCTTTCAGCAGCTCCAGCGGCCACCTCTACATCCAAAGGAGGAAGATTGCGTTGGAAAGCCACCAACTGGTGGACCGCCTGGGGCCAGATAGCACTACCACAGCAGCGGCCAGAGGCCGAGTTGACTGATAGGAGTTGGCCGCTTGGGTACAACTGATCCTCATCGAGCACCGAACGGCGGCCGAGCGAGTCTCTTGTGGTCTGCCAGGTGTATGCTGTGTTGCCATTGTCATCTACCAAGACCTCAAATCTGAAGAAAATAACATAAAATTTCAATTTTTGAGTGCAAGGAAAAATTTTTCAGACAAACCTGTATGTGCCAGCGCCTCCCTGAGCGTGTCCAGTGAAGTATCTGGAGTAGACGCCGTCGCCCCTGGTGATGTCAGGGTCTCCGCTGCCAGTGTCCAAAAGTTCAAATCTGTCCTCATAGGGGTGGCCCGAGTCGTTGCCAACCTTGGTTACCTTGACCTCGACTCTTGCAGACAGGACGGGCCAATCGCCTTGCTTGACTTCCACATACAAAGCTAGAGGGCCGCTCTGGCCATCAAGGCGCATATCCTTGCCACTGGTGAAAAGGTGTGCAGTGACAGGTGCGTCTCTTTGCTCGTTGCTTTGTGGCGTAGCAGCCACAACAATGAAGTGAGGCTGTTGGCTGCCTGGGTGACGATCAATCGAGTAGGTCCAGGTTCCGGTCTATATAAAAATTTAATTTAGAAAAAAACTAAATATTATTAATTGCTCAATCCTTACCTCATTAATAATGGCGTTGATTTTCAAGATTTTGATATTCAGCAACTCGTCGGACTTTGAATTATAAGTTCTCTGTGATGGACTGACCAAAGTGACTTGCTTGACCAAAGGTATGATGGATTGATGCAGGTAAACATGTACCTGGCTGGGCTCTCCTAGGCCTGGCGGGACAACAAAGGTTCCAGTAACCTTTCCTCTGCCATTATCAGTAAGCTCTTTTCTGTGAATCTGAAAACAAAAAATTATAAATTATTTTATGATAATTTAAAAAATGTCAAATCAACTCACCTCCACAGGTAGTTTTATCCTATCTCCTTGATAGAATTCATTTCTGATGGCCAGGAGAGCTTGAGCCAGTTCAAAATAGCTGTTCAGGAAGGAAGCATCCTGATTTTGGCGCTTTTCAAGAACTGTGAAGGCAGGCGCGTCCGTGAGGTGGGCCAGAGCGTCAAGGCTGGAATGGGTAGGTCTGGCCATCTGGGGATAGTTGATGGTCGCAATTTTGATGCCAAGAGCGCGTGCCTGGTTGCCTAAATTAAGAAGCTCTCCAAGACGACCAGTTCCGGGCGCAATAACAAGAATAACCGAATTTCCACCTTGCTCGCCATTCTCAGTCAACATCTGTTACAAGAGAAATCAAGTAAATCAATTAATTTAAGTTATTTACCTTTAATTGAAATAAAAAATTTAAAATTTCATTTGAATTTACTCTACTCACATCGATAGCAGTTGAAATTCCGCAGGGCAAGCAAGAGGAAGACTCGACTTTCGGAGCGCCAAACTCGCCAGGGGTGTACGGCAGAATTGAGGCAACTGGCTCTCTGGTTTTGTAGTTAAGACTGACGAGACGTTGCAAACGGACAGCGTCGGTGCCGTTGACGGTGACAATGCCCACCTCTGAACCAACAGCCAGGTCGTGGATAGTGAATTTGCGGATGGCCGATCGCAGGAAGCTCCATGACTCCCTAACCAGCATGTCATTTGTGTCCTCTATGACGAGGACGTAGCGGGTGCGGACCTCACGTTTGAAGGTCACGGTAGGGGTTGTGTCACCAAAATATGGTGTGGCGTCCACTGGAACACTGGAATAAACAAAATAATTAATTAAAATTTGTTTAGAAAATTATTTTGTTCAAAAATAATTCAAAGAAAACGAAACTTACTTTTTGAAGTCATCGTTCTCGAGGATGACCTCCATGACACTGCGCCTGTTGCACATGGCATTATGCTTGGTGGGTGCATACCTGTTGTGGGTTGTGTGGTCACAGAATCTGGTCACCTGAATAACAGCGAAGAAAAAATTATTGTTGAACAAGCAGAAACCAGTTGACTTTTCTACAAATAAGGCAGTTTATGAAAGGTTTTTAAGGTAATTATAATACGCTCTTATTTAATGGAAAGAGGCTAAAATGCCAAGAATGCGTCTGAATTGTGTGATGCGAAATTTTGCAACGAGAGAAATAACTGCTGACCTGGTAATTTTTAATTATTTTCTCGACACAGGAAAGAAATAAGAATGGAGCATAAATTTTCGAACTCGGAAACAAATACGCTAGATTTTATCTCCGCGACTCGTTGGCGGAATGAAGAGGGGCCCCCCTGCTCTTGCTTTGTCTTGCTCTCATATCAAGACGTTAACACAATCGACTCTGACACTTTGCACAGCTAGCTTTGAGCTTTGTATGAAAAATAAAATCAGCAGCTCCAATTACAAATTCCGATCGCACGTGGGAATGAGCGGAGCAAAAAAAAAAAATAAAGAAATGAAAGACGCATTAAAAAATAATAAAACTGCGTGTATTGCGAGAAGGATCAACTCACAGAAGGAGACGTGTGCGCAAACATGATGCTTGACGTCGCTTCAGGGTGAACCAGCAACGGAGTCAGGGTATCGGTGTCGCCGGCCAGCAGAAGTTGGGTCACATTCTCACATAACCTGCAAAAATAACCACATTTGCCAAATTACATTTAAGGACTAGGTTATTTTTGTAAGACATTTTAATGTTCTAATAATGATTCATTTTCTAAAAAAAACATTATTAAAAAAGTAGAGAATTGTTTAATTTTAATTTGATTTCTGAAAGTAAATAATTTTTTTTTAAATACAAACTTGTACACAAAACCAAATTTGAAAAAGAAAAACATTTTTTCAAGAGACTTACCCTTCAGTATTCTGGTGTTTGTCGGTGCAGCCGGACACTCGGGCGGCGCCGTCCTTTTCATCATGGTAGCAAGGAGGGTAGACCGCGTCGCCGGGAATTCCGGCCTCGTCGAAAACGCCATACCTCAGCTTGGCCCACTCCCTGACAAGGGCGCGACCTGAAAAGCGAGGAAAGAAATACCCCTGTTAAAAGCAAGCAAAGCAAAGTGGCGAGAGAGAAATTAACGAGCGGTGCGCGAGATAAGATAAGAAAACATGCGGGAGACAAAGGCAGGGTCGCGCGAGTTTTACACTTCCTGTCAGGTCATCAGCACGCCGCTTTCTTTAGCCATTCTCACAAGAGAGGAGAACAGAGCTCGGTAGATAATTGGAAAAATATTTTATCTTAGTTTCAAAGTGGTCTCCAGCCAGCAAACTTTTGAAGCAATTATTGCACGAAGGTGGTTTTTCAGACTTTTTTGAGTATTTATTTTTGAGGAAATAAATGTGAATATCAGATTTGAATAGTTCAGCCTCACGGAAAGGGCGACTTCATTTCAAAGTTTTTGGCCCCCCTCTTTATTTATCTATATGACTGTTTTGGCGGTCGCGTGGAGACCGAATTAGTTTGTTTGGAAACCGAGGGTTCACGGTGAATTTTCCGCCGCACAAAACTTTTTGCTGCACGCGTGGTGATTTTGATTTTCTCCCCCATTTCCGCATCCTGCTCCCCGCGGCCGCCGCGAGAGAGAGCGGCGGAAGTTGAGATGAAAGAGCATGGAGAATAGTAAAACAGCTCTTCGTTAAAATTGGCCCCATGATTACATTCATATTTCATCCACGATTCGTCTGCCAAGCAGCACGGTAGCTCCCGAGAATAACAAGAACGGCGATAAAATCACAAAATTACGCAAAATGCTAATTTTATTCCACCCGTGGTAATAAATTATTCAACGCAAGGTGTGTATCTGGTGTGTATGATGATAATAACTAACAACTATCCGAAAGCTATACTACATCTTTTATAAAGTTATAAAAATTTTAAATCTAAAAAAATCAGGCGCAATTTTTAATAATTAATGGATTTTTCAGAGGAATGAAGACCTGCTTTTTTTAAATAATTAAATTCTCACCAAGTTCTCCAGGGTTTTGAACCGAGTTGACCAGTCTAGTGTAAGCCAACGAGATGAAGTCGCCGGGTTTGCCGCAGCCCTGACTCTGTTGCGTCCACAGGGCGTCAGAGAAGAGCAGGTGTTGCGGGGTGATGCGAATATCGGCCCTGGAAGCCATTTCACCTGACGCAGGTTGCACCACTTGGCCACAATCACCCTTCCACGAGCTCGGCAGCAGGACGGTTGCTGATCTGAAGAAGGCCCGGCCGTCTAAAGCGCCGTTCAAGTATTGCGAAGCGTCGGTCAATGCCGTCTGAAAACAGAAATAAAATGGAAACATTAATTAATTTTTTAATTAGTTCAATACAATATTAAATTAGGTTTAAAGTTAAAATAATTGGGGTTAGTTGTTGTCTTTTATTTTTCAAATTTATTTAATTTAATTTAACCAGGAAGCCAGGTTTAAATTATGTTATGATTTTTAAAGTATTATCCAATTGTTTAAATCTGCAGTTTTATTACTTTTTTCCTCTTAAGTTCGGAGAATATTCGCAAATTTTTCGCACATGACTTTTTCTGTTTTATTACCCATAGCAGACATGCCTGCCGGCCTGTCGGTTCTCTGTGAGTTCTGCTCCCTCGGTACAAAGTTTTTTTTCATACTGTTGCAGAAAAGTAATGAGCTCGTCTTTGTCGGTTTCCCTTTTCGCAGATCGCGCGGCACGGCAGGAAATTGATTTGCTCGTCTCTTTTGTGCGCCAGTTTCCGGCCGTTTATATACAGAATGTCGGTGTATTATTTTCGCGTGTATGTCTTCCTTTACGATTCACTTCTGCCGCGACCGACAGACAGCAGTTTCGATTTTATTACGCAAGACTAGCTTTCGTCACTCGCGGAGGAGTGCACTTTCGAGGCTTCTTTTGCTGTGGAAAAATATCTGGTATCGCACGGAGCGATCTGAAATTTATTCTCACAGCGCGCGGTCTTCCTCGTTTTTAGTTAACCCATCCGAGAGTCCACGTGCGTGAATTTAGTTAACGTTGTGGCACAACAGTTTATGGTGTCGGATTTCGCAGATCTCGGTGCATCTCATCTCCCTGCTGCTGCGCTGTTCATTAAAAGTGAATCCTTTCAACGGCCCTCCGTTTTCCTTCGGACATGTGTGTGATGCAATATGGTCGGCGCTGCAGCAGATGCCAGAATTGAAAAGCGTGGGCTCTTGTTGTTCTCTCTTTCTGGCCGCCCAATTTTTATATTTTCAACGGTCTTCCGCCTAGTTTGACGGGATTTTCGTGTGCGATAGGGTTGATTGAACGCTTTGTTTTGGGATTTGGAGCGAATTTCCTGACGTGCTGTGGGTGGGAACGGTTCTGTTTTGCCAGAGGGAATTTTCAAAAGGCCAATTTCTTCGGTTCAACCAATATGCAGTGGGTGGTATACAATAACCTTTTAATTTAATTTTCAAATTCACGCTTCCCAAAAGCCAAGCGAATTGTGCTTTTTAAATTTAACACAATTTTCTTAATATTTTTTCTGCTAAATAATTACTTGTTTCATTAAAATATTTACACGATAAATGTAATTCTTACTGATTTTCTCTTAAAAATTTAATTTGTGAAATAAAGTTTCAAAACTTTGGCCGAACCAGCATGAAAATGTTAATTTGATATTCTACACAGTTTGCTTTTGCTTGAAGGGGCCTATTGAATTAATTAACAAACGCAATCCAAATTTTAAATCTCCGCCATAAATCTGACGGTTGCATAATTACACTTTTTTCGTATATTCGTTCTGCCTCCTGGTCGCAGCTCAGGCCATTATGAATTTTAGTTCTTTATCTTTATTACTGGAAAAAATATTCTAACGGAAATTGCTGCACTGACCCCTTGCTGCAATTCGTGGCGGAATTCATTTTTAAAGTCCACGGTGCGCGACAGTCGATTCATTTCGCAACCGGAAATAGGGGTGAGCGTCAAAAAAAGTGTTTTTAAAAAGCCGGTAAAAAAATCGTTTGCTGCGAAATGCTCCGGTCCTATAATTGGAGGCAGGTTTATTTCCGAGTGGCTCGTTCCACCCACATGTCAAGCGCTAGGTGAAGAATTGGAAACGAAAATAATACACCTTACGCGCACTGTGTTCGACTCGGTCCGCGTTCGTTTCCTGTCCCCACTTTTTTTTATCTCGCTTTGTACTTCCGCCCGTGCCCGCTGTTCAAATTAACTCAAACTGGCTATGCACACCTTTCGTACAATTCATTTTACACAGACACATGCCCTTTAAACAAAGAGAAGAAACGCGCAATAATTATTATCGTTTTGTGCGCACCAGAGTAAAGCACGCACGCAATCTGGCGCGTTTTGCTTCGTGTTTTTCGTGCATATTCTATATACATACGGGCGCATGCTGGTGAAAAAGTCGGTTTGTCCGATAAGAGTAGCTGGTGTGGGGGCACCTTGCGAGGTGAAAATGCGTTTGTAGCAACCTCTGGCTGCGCTAATCACTGTCGCTAATTAGAAATCGGAGGCCAAACAGGGTCAGGCCGGTATGTAAAATATTAAGTTGAATTCAACCAGATATAATAAAGTAATTTTTTAATATTAATTTTGTCAGTCTTAAAATCTAGCATAGATATGTACTAAGTTTTTTTTTTTTAATCAACGAATTCTCAAAAAACGTGTTAGTAAATATCATTTTAAATATTAAGCATTTTTTAATTTACATTGCATGGATCGTGTAGAATTGAAAACAAAAGAAATATTTTTACAATTCAATTTAGCATTTTTAAATCATATTAAAATTATATTAATATACAAAGTAATACAAAAAAATCTGAAACTGTTGAATTTTAAATTTTTTTTATATAAATAATAGCTTCTAAATTTTGTGTTTTTAAATACTAAGTTGACAGAGCGCTAACTTATTTATAGCATTCCTTTTTGTAAAAAGAAATTCTTCCATAATTACCGATTACAGCCGTCACGATTTTTAACCCTTTTAAATACTCTTTGCTTTGTCTCACAACGCAAATTCCTGAGAAGAGCGACAGCAAAATATTTACGAGTTCAAGCCTGACGGGAAAGAATTCCACGTTGCAAAAGAAGTGGCGGCACCTTGGTCGTGTCAGTTGCGCAAAAAAGGTCGGCGCTCGCAAAGTCAATCAGCAGCAGTAAAACACCGCAGAAAAAAATAAAGTATCCACGCGCATTCCTCCGGGCAAAAAGAAGCGCCCGCCGAGTAATTTATACACCGACATGCCGAAGAAGAAGAAAAGAAAATTCAATAATTACGCACGCACTCTGAAAAAGGAATGGGGTTTTGCAAGCGAGAGAGCCGATCGAGGTCATCACTCCCATGCATTATGATAATTATTGGCGGTGGAAAATTTTCCATATATTCATTTTGGCGGTTTATTGGTCGCCGTCGGCGATTCCGAACAGTTAGGGTCAGAGAGCAACGAGTAGGATTTTCACATAATCGTGTCTCTTTTTCACTTAAGAACCACAGCCACTGCACTTGGCGCTTTGTGTGTCACCGCGTGATCCGTGCACACAAAACCGTGACATCTGAAATTTCCGAAAACATCAACTGTCGTGACCCGCCAACCAGGGTCGAAATTTGCATGTAGCTGGGAAAAGAAACGTCTCTGTTTTTTGAAAGCGTGTCAAAATGTTTGAGACGCGGAAGAGAGACAGAAGATGAGAGTTGCTTCGATTATTGATTGTGTGCAAGTGAAACTCTCCTGAAATTGCGCACACAAGTTCCGAGGCTGACAATTTAATCGTGACAAAATTATTTTTTTAGGATAAAAAAGAAAACAAGATTTTAAAGAACATAAAAAAATATATGGGAATAAAAATGGTCTTGAATTTAATAAAGTCAAAATATGAGGCCTGACGAAATTGCTTGATCCCTGTTTCTTATTGTTGAGCTCTGGGGTTCAAACTTCTTTATTTATTTTTTTTACTCTATGGATAATTTTTTTAATTTACATGAAAATAATTAAATTTTATATTATATTTTATACTTCAATATATTTTTCTTCCAAGAACAGCAAGATTTCTACAAAAAACTGCTCGAATAAAAAGCATATGTTTTCTAATCCCAGCCGTTGAAATCTCTCCCTCCTCTCTTTATTTTCCACAAAGATGCGCATCTATCTTCTTTCCTCCGAACCTGCCAAGAAAGCCAAAGGTTTGTTTGGGGCCGCGCGCACATTACCTTTCTATGGCGCAACCCGCGATAATGAGGCTCTCCTTATGCAACGCGGCGAACAACATGGTGCATGTATTGGAAAGAGAGTCGTGACTGATGAGCTGCCGATTGCTCTTTTCACGTAGGAAAAAGTCAGTCTGGCTCGACATGCAGTAGATCTTCTTTCTCTTCCAAGCCATTGCAGGGAAGATGAGCAGCAGCAACTTTCGATTCTCGCCAGCAATATCGTTATACGAGAATCGCGACTAATGAAACAATGAGCGCGTCTCTCTCTCTCTGTGCGCACAGAGCTCGTGCCTTTCACATTATTATAAGAAAACGGGTTTGTTATCATTGATATTAGATGCGCAATATAACTGCTACGTACACAAGCAGTAGTCAGGTTTTCAACAAGGCAAAAAAGTATGTATACATGATTAACGAGACTGATGAAGTCGTTGCTAGAGATTTAATTAAGATCTGGTACAGGTTGATACTAATTATGATTCTTAAGACTGTCAGACTGGAAAATTATTTTAAAATATAAATTAACTTTTTTATTTAAATTTTGTGCCATTTCATAAAAAAAATAAAATAAAATTATAAGCCAAGGGTTAAACAATTCTAGAGAGAGACGCAATTGCAATAAGATAATAATATAATTTTTTTTCAAATAATCTTATGTATAGAAGTGCAAAATATGAAATTGACAAAAATTCACAAATTTAGCGAAATTTAATTTTGTTAAAATTCCTCAATAGATTTAGCGTTTTTTAATTACACTTTTTGAAATAAAAATTTGCAAACAATTTTTTTTTCATAAGTAGATCAACGTGGCAAAGTTTCACGTGAGAAAAACGGAAGTTTTTGCAGCCGAAGCAAAATCGTTACTATTTTTTTTTCTGCCTTCGCATGCACAATTAAACTTGAACAAATCACCACCAAAGAGCTAATGCTCGTCTCATGCGCTCTTGAAGTGCGTGGTGTTTATTATTTCATTTTCAGCCAAGCATCGCTAATTAAAAACACTCGATGAAGAGAGCCGGGCTAATTAGCATTGCCGGCGTCTGTTAGATTTTCTCACTGCTGGTTTTCGTCTTTCTCGACGCGGTGTGAGAAAAA